TTTATACCTATTCGGAACTTTTACTGTGCTAACATTCCAGCGGCCTAAAGAAGCTGATCGGCAGCCAGTTCGAACCGCCAGTAAAAAACGTTGTGCGCACTGACGCCCTATAAAAAAAACCACTGGCGACCTAGCTAACCTGTGCATCCGTAGTCTGTGTTGTAGATAACTACCCAACTACGTTTGAGGGCGTATATGATGCCGGCAAATGATTGCATACTGCGTGCAGCCGGCAGGGTAGTTCGAGGTTTTGGACGTGGTAGCAAGGAACTTGGAACACCAACAGGTTTGTACATTCTATAGAAGGAGTACTAATCCTTTTATAATTTTAGCCAACATGTCAGAAGATGTCGTTGAAAAAATCCCCTCAGCAATGTCTACTGGTGTCTATGCCGGGTGGGCGCAGGTAGACGATGGACCTGTCCGCAAGATGGTGATGAGCCTTGGCTGGAATCCCTTTTATAAAAATGAAAAGAAATCGTTGGTAAATTTCCTGCAGTCCTTTTAATATTTTGCACGCATTTTTATAAAACAAAATGAGATGCAGTCTGTCCAATTCGACTGCGAACGATACTTTTTTTACTTCGGAAACACTTCGTCAATAAAGACGATCGTCTTTCTCCCTGATAATATTGCCGGAGCGTTTGTTGCGCCTTTGCAAGATTCGTCTGCAGTTAGGTTCTATTTCTACTGACTTAACCCGCGTTTCGAGCTCAAAGCCTGGCCTTGGTGATGCCTATCTGCCTGCATATAGTCAGAGTCCCTCTTCACGATCATTTCTACAACGAAATAAAGCGCATATCCACTGCATGTGTAGGGGTTAGTATGGAATAAAGACCCTCGGCAGGGCCGTTGTAACCAAGGCGTTTTTCCAGTGTGTGTTAGGTACGAGAAAAAAAACATTGACGGATTCTGAGACACTTATAAGCCTCGTACCTTATTTCAATCAAATAATCAACCCAAAAATAAAATAGGCAACATCGCTCTCAAAAATATTAGTTTCGGATTTTTTAGCCTGTTTAACATTAAAATATCCCTCCCATTTTGTATTTAAAGAGAACTTACAGTATTTATTGAACATGTAGGGGAATAGCGTCAGTCGTGGGATTTTTGCTATTCTTTATATACCTATTTATTTATATATGTGGCCAGCCTCCCCTGGTATTCAAGGCTTGAAAATGGAATCGCCCCCACACCTTGCTGAAAATATCAACCACTATTATGTAGACTTATTTATTGTCCTTATCTTTGCTTTGTGACCAATTCCTCCCACATCTTAATCAGATCATTGTGCCCACCCGGTTTTTACCACCATCGTGGGCACTGTGATCGAAAAATAATTAACTTATTTGGAGTAATATTCATTGGTCATTCCTGTCATGCGGATGGTTCTGTTTTGCTTTAGGAGTACAGTCCATGGAGGCACAGTATAGCGACAAGCCACTTTGCGCGCTTCCCCATAGACTGATATCCCATATTTTTACTGAATGATAATATCTGTCGTTTATGTATGTATACCAATCACTAACGGAAGTCTTTCATCCCACTCTGTCTTGGGACTCACTCTCGAGCGCCGCCAACAACGGCACGGCCGCTAGTAATTTCGACACATAAATACAGATAAAGACAAGCGAGACTGTATAGGCCATTTTTGGCTCATTAACCGTCATCAGTCAGTCATGCCCAATCACGGTTGGTGCATTACTCGAAGCTCGAACCCGCGACTTGTTGGTCAGGAGGGCAATGCTGTAAACACTGAGTCACAGGCTCGTTGACTTGCGGGTTTAGGTGGGGAAATTGATAAACGTTCACTGATCACAAACGCAGCTCACTCGTCCTGCTGTCTAACTTGGATAGTATCTGAGCCTTTCATCTGTTTTTGCTCTTAGGAGGTGCACATCTTACATAAATTCCCTGAGGACTTTTACGACTCCCGAATGCAGATTGTTGTTCTTAAATATCTCCGGGATGAACGTAACTTTGGCTCTCTTGGTAAGTGACTCATGCGGGTGTACTAGATTTTTCGATAGCCCATTGTTCTGCTTTTGCCACTTGCTTTTCTTGGCATTTGCTACCTTGCACTCGTTATTGGTTGTATTTGAGGGGGGAAGACACCTAACAAATTCATTTTGCATAATTGTAATGTATGGCTATGAATAACTGAGTTTTAATTCCATTCAGGATAGGCGTCAGATGTCTAACTTCACAATTGTCTCTTCGAGCCTGTTGGGATCTAGTACCCACATAGTGTCGCGTAGCCTTCATAGCGTCCCAGATGAATAAAGATGATCTTCCATGAGGATGACGATGGGGAACAGGTTTACACCTTTACCCCAGTAGACATTGTTGTCTCAGATTAGTGATGGGCAAGCCGTCGTAACTCGCGGCTCTGTGGACGCAGGCCAATATTTTAAGATACAAATTAACTACTGTTTGTGTCCTATCATCTTCAGACAAAACCCCACTCAGACTGATGTAGGCCTTATCTGGTTGACACTCATACACTACTCCAGTGTCAGTGTTAGTCTATTATACCGTATGTAGCTCGCCTGCCGTCCTAGACTTTTAGAGCTCTGGGAGAGCTTTACCGCCCTGAATTGGGATTTATTGTCACGGTCTCAGATATATGCTCACCCACTGGGAGCTCGCTCGGTCTAATCTGCTTTAGAACCTTTTGTTGTCTTCTACGACTCTCTTATTGCCCCGAGTTGCTATAACGTTGACGCTTCTCTTTTTTTCTGTAGAGGAATTAATTGGTGCCATCGAGACAGACATTAAGCAAGCCAGTGCCTTTCTCGACGAACCTGAGTGCCTCAAATGGAAGCAAGACCCCATCTTCCAGACCCAGCAACATGACAGGGAAATTTAAAATATTCCAGGTTTTACTAGCCTCTGTTTCTCCTCCCAAAGCGGTGTTACGTACATCCTAAAGCTCCAAAGTGCTGCGTAGTGGAGCATTCCACGTCCCCTGGACCCGCTTGCGCCATATTCCTTTCCAGTTTTGTGTAGATCCTTTCACTTTTGAACACGTCTTGTCTTATTGGTTTGTTTTTAGTACTCTCTCTCTCTTTAATGAA